CAGTCCTGTGCAGGCTCAGGAAGGCTCTGTCTCGCTCTAGCCCCCCACCTGGCTCTCTGCGCAGGGCGGTGCGGCCCAGATGACCGGCATATTGACGCAGGAAGGAGGGAGCGCTATGGGAGGCGGGAGGGTGTACAGAGCACACCACCATGGGCTCTGAGATTCACAATGTAGACAGACAGCCAAGGAGAAAGAGAGTCCCACAGTGGATGCAAAAGAGAACAGAAAACTCAGAAGGGAAAGAGGTTGATCAAAGAAAAGAGAAAGGGGTTCAGGCGAGAGGAAGAAAACAGTGAAATAGAGAAGAAGAAGAGAAAAAAGATGACACAAAGTCACACACAGACAGGCACAGAAAGGTAGCAGAACATGTAGGAACAGTACAATATGTAGTAGTAATAGATAAAAGGCTGGAAATGCACACAGCTCCTGTAATCATGCTGTAATCATTCTGTAATTATGTGAGGAGCCGCTGTAGCACGGAAACAGAAATTAAAATAGAAAGTGTACGAGGCATAAGGCATGCATCGTGGAAAATCTGTTGAGTCATAGAACTCACAGGGAAGTAGCAGCAGAAAGAAATGCAGACATGCACACACTGTAGGAGACAGGCACCGAGCTATGGGAGTAATAATAATCATTGATGTAAGGCCTACAAGAGATTTTTGGTTGTCTGTATTAGGAAAATGAACACAAAGAGCTCAAAAACTCCTTCCTTGAGTTTTCCAAAGCAAAGCACCTAAACTAAGGATGTTTACATGCAGCATACATGTGCTGTCAGCTGTGTTTCTTTTTTCTCCGTTTTACTTAAGCAAAACAAGCTAACTGGTCCAGTAATACACTGACAGAAGAAACTGCAGTGAACACGAGACATTGCTTCTCATTAGCAAGAAAAATGTGAGAGGTATTTTCTACCACTCTTGTACAGTTTGACTTATATATAGAGAGATGTCTGTGCACCCAGGGGGAGAAGGGGAGGATGCAGCAAGGGAAAAGGACAGAAGGAGATAGTAATGTAGAGCAGTTGGATAAAAGTTTAATGTCTCTCCTCATCACTAGCTCCATTCCACTCCTTCTCTCACTTGCTAGCTGGACTCTTTGGAAATGACATCGCTTTAGCTATCAAAAGCAAATAAAGGGATGTAAAAATAGAATGAAAAGGAGAAAGAAGCCAGTAAGCAAAAATGAATGGGGTAGAGCTATAGATGCTGCAGCCCAGGAGCTGTAGTGACAGCAACAAGCAAGCATCATCGCTCCGTGCCAAGCAGCCAACAGAACACAGCTATATTTGAACACTTAAGCTTTGTTTTTTGTTTTTGAGCTGACACAAAAACCCTCTGCCAAAGCTGAGACAACCTCCTTCCTCCCTATGTTCTGACAAACACATACAAAGATAGTGCCTGGGTGCGAGGTCTCTGATTCTTCCCAAGTGGGACCTGCAGTCACGGACGATGCCCAGCAGATGGCACCCAGAGTGTCTTAGGATGACACTGTTTTCAGACATTTCCTTCCTCTTATGTGAAAACATGAAGAAACAAACAGTGTGTCTGACCGATTTGGGAATTCCCACACATTCCCAGCGTGCACTGCCAGTGGTTCAGTTAACTTAACCATTCAGTCTTGACGACTGAGTGGTTAAGTTAACTGAATTGTTAGGTTAACTGTGATGAAGATTGTGGTAAAGATGATGATGGTTAACATGGATGGCTTCAGTGGGTTATAGAAGTAGATGAAGCTACCATGAATATGCTTCTGTTTAGCATTTGCATGTCTGTATGACTTTATGAGAGTAGTGGACATGAAAAAAGTGACAAACACACATTTAAACAGGCACATACAGTTTATGAGATATTTGCATTAAGAAATGTATTATCTCTGAGAGGGCATCGGTGTAAATTAATGGCATAAAGTGAGGAAAAGTGAAAGATCTGCTCCCTTAATTCTGTATGACCTTCATCCATCATAAAGGACCTTTGCTTTAACCCTCTCCACCTACACCATCATTTAGTTATTGCTTGGTCTTCTTGTACTGAATAAAAGCTCTAAATGAAGTCGTAATGTCTCGAAATGTTGCGAAACAAGAGCAGGTGTCCTTTAATAACTGCAGTTGCATGAAAAGAAAATCTGCATAACAGATGCTGGAGTCAGACTCTGTGCAACTCCTACAAGGGTTATGGAGATGACACATCTATTCTTTATCATAAGGACAGTATAAACTGTTTGTCTGTTTCTTCTACTATACACTGTGTTACTGTAATTCCAGTATATATGTAGGTGCACACAGTGTAGTGTAGTTGAGCATCACAAACACACTACGTTTCAGTAACAAAAAGTTTAACTTTGGCTGTTAACTGTAGGTCTCTGTGCACATGCTGTATGTCTGAGTGCCAGTGCTTGCTAAGGTGTTTGCATGTACATGTGTGTTCTCGTTCACATCTCTCACCATTGTCCCTAGCTGTGGATGCCTCATCCAAGGCCATCTGTTCTGCAAGTTCGGACAGAGAGTCATCAACGGGCCGAGCGCTGCGTAGAGACATGGACAGCCTCCGCTTGATGATCTTCATCCTGTCCATCTTCTCAGTCACACCACTGGGGCCCTCAGGCCTGAGGGGGGAGAAAAGCACCACCTTCATTATAATTATATAATCAAAAGCACTACCTGCAACATGTTCAGAGCTGTCATTATCACCATCAGCAACCACCACATCCATGCTACCCTGTTATTCTATCACTGTGCAGGTAAACTACTGCAGTGCAACCCGTGCGCATTTTCTGCATTTCGTTAAGCTCCCAGAGATTCTGTTTGCTCAAACAGCCTGTGTCCTCATTGTTATGTATCCCAAGAGCAAACATTGCAGAATAAAAGACAAAGAATGAGATGAAGAAAACCCACAGAGGGGTAGAAGAAGAGAGAAAAAGAAATGTACAAACAAAAAAAGTACAGAAAATAAAACCAAACTGCTGACAATGCAACTTCCCGGAGGTTTCAGACCAGAGCAGCTTTCCCAGATGAGCTGTGATTGACAAGCATTTCACTGGGTGCTCCATAAACTACATGCTATGAATTAATTGCGTATGAACTGCAGTCTAAAGTATTATCATACGACGCATCGACACATCTACAGCAAATCCTTCAATATTCCATTTTAACCTGCTGTTCATATGATAACTGATGGAAAGTTAGCTGTAAATAAGGCACAGTGTCTATGCATCTGCAGGACAGAAGTATCCCATCCTTAAAATAAATGTGGACAAAGGGACATAGCGTTTTACAGCAACTTGCTCTTCAGTGGTACAGCCACACTGTGTGTATTTGTGCTTGTATACCTCTTTGTAAACCTCAGTGAGCTTTCAAATATATATATTGTTTAGGGCGCCTCTCAGTAGACATTTCTATTTCATGAGTGTATGTACAGTAACTGTGCCTTTGCATGTGTGCAGTTCTGTGTGTGGAAGTCAGTTTGTCTTCTACTCTCTGCCTTAATGGCCTGAAGGTAGGCACGGCTATGGCAGAGTATTCCTGTCTCCCTTCCACTTCCTGCTCCTTCTATCAAACCCATAAGGGCTTGTGAGCTGGCACGCAGAAGTGCGCAGACACACACACACACACACAGCGACATGGGCAAATACACATTGCACCCACTGCCTTTCTCTTTGTGTCCAACTTTGGAGGCCTCTACAAAAGCCATTCATCCTCTCAGGCCTATTGGAGACAACTAGTGCTCAGAGGGAATTCAAACATTAGCGCTGGGGACAACTGGCCTTTTTTCACCAGAAGATGTGCTTAGGACAATATCTATTGCTCACAACATTACCTCTGCCAGCTTACATGAGATTAGTTAGATGTCGTTTACACCTTAGCTGCAAGCTTTTCTTTGAAGATAAAAAAAAGCCAAAGAAGGGAAAAAACTGAGAAAAAGGAAAGTAACTTGTTTATTTTGTATCATGCGCTACATGGATTATCAGTATGCAATAAATCCCCCCCCCCCAAATCCTCATTTGCATGCTTTCCCAGACTTCATTAGAGAAGGTGGCTGCTTGGACAAGAAGATTGGGTTCTCCTCACGTAACCTTGGAGTGACTATCCACACATTCTCAGGAATAAATGAGTCATATTAGGGGGAAACACTTGAGATATAATTTTCTGCCTATTACCCAGATAAATAAATGCCAGAGTTATCATTAGGACAGACAGATATTGCTGGTATCCAGGCAAGCACACACACATAGACACAGACACACAGGCACACAACAATAACCAATTCCCCAGTCTTCCTCTTATCTGGGTTGAATTAGCATGGACAGTAACACAAATCTCAGCATCCAGTGGGTCATACAGAGAAGCACTTCTGGGTATCTCTGTGTGTATAGCAAGTTAAGATTTCCAGTTATCATAGGGTCTCTAATAGACTGTTATACAAAATAAACACATAGCATTCATTATAAATATTTCATTTTATGGAAATATAGCTTACTTAATCCCCCTTAAATTGTAAAGTTTGTTATTTTTAAAGATGTTTTTCAGGAAATTCAAGACAGACAGATTTTTTTCCACTTAATGAGCTTTGTTTAATAAAACTATGAAGCTAAGGCTATACCACGTTTTATTCTTAATGACAATATAAGATGTGTTCAGATGTCCCGGAGCGTTTAAGTGCAACAGTGATGGTCAAGAATCAAATTGACTGTGCACTCAATTTTGAGTCTTGTGTGATGCAGATGGAGCTGCGAGTGTGACGAAGTTGGCAGAGCCCCATCAGTGAATGAGATAGGACATGTGGCTCCAGGCTGCAGCATGTGCAGACGGACACCTGGCAAACCACAAATAACTCTGCTATGCATAACTCCCACTTAATGGAGGGACGCACTCCAGATGACAAAGGCTACACTCATTCTCTAGAACATTCAAGAGCCTAACAAGCACTGGTGTTTTAGCTCTGAAAGCAATACAGAGCATAAACTCATATGCATTAAGAAGGGCTGTGTAATAAAACAACACAAGAGATCAAAGGTCAACGGAGTAATTGATATAAAGCAGGAAAAAGATAAAACCTCTGACTTTCTACCACACTGTGCACATGTGTTTTCACATGCATGTGTGGGGTGGTTGCATGGATATTGTAGCCTGGAGGCGAGGTGAACTAAAAGACTCCTGAGGAGGAAAGAAGAGGAACAGTCTGATTTATTCACGACACACCATTTGGGTTGCTAGGTTACAGGCCCAGACTGGAACCGCAGTTTCTGTCTATGAGGTAAAGAGAAAAGGAAAAGCGAGAGAGAAAGAGGCAAAAAGAAGAAGCTGATAATTCAAAATTCACATCTCTCAGTACTGACACCCAAACATGCCAGCGTCAGCTTCAGAAACTTCCTGCCAAACTTCTTGGGATGAGAGCATAACGGAGCGTCATTCATCCAACTTGGCTCTAGGATTGTGCCAATTATGACTTCTTCAGAGGAAAAGTAATGAATGGACCACGGGGCCGATGCCTGCACAATGAATGTGTAATATACACACAAGCTGTCCGATGCATTCATAAAACACACACACACAGAGTATTTCAGCTGTTTGTGTGACCATGGTCTCCATTTTCTTCAGCCATATTGTCTTACATCCAGCACCTATTTTTCTTTTTCTTTTCATCAGAAATAAACAAGGGTTACTCTGAAATTCAATGACACATGAATCATACGCATGCATGCACACACATGCAATGTGGCAGAGTGGAACAGGCACTCAGTGCCACTCCAATGCCACAACATTGCTTTTGCACAGCAGCCTGGGGATGCATGAGTAACGCACAAATCTGCCCAACTACAGAAGCCTACACACATCCACCCAGACAATAGTCCCTTCTCATTATAAACCCAAGGGCTTCTTATCTGCATCCCATCACTAAATCTGAATCTCCAGAGACAGATTAAGAGAATAATATATGGAAAGAAGTTGAATGAACAAGCACAACAAAATAACAAATAAAACATATTGGAAAAGACTGAGCAAAAGATCTAGACTGTCATCATGTGCCATGAGAGGAGAAGAAAGTGTGACTGTATGATTGTTGGCAGATCTGGCTCATGAGGATCAGAAAAAGTACAGAAAGATTAGTACATGTTCATTTCAGCCTTTGCAGTGTGACTGTTATCATTATCATGATATTAATACAAAGGGACTTTAGATACATAAATGGCAAATATATAACTTTTAATCTTACTTATCTTCAGACATAACAATATTATGATAACATCAAGGTACAATAACATAGATGCAGGCCTATACACAGAAGTAGATCCGAATAGCTCATTTGGGAACATTGGGAGAACACTACATCACAAGACTGTCATCTATGGAAAGTTGGCACAGTTTAACTACTGAATAACTTTCCATCCAAAACGTTATCATTATGTAACAATAACAACAACAATAATAACAACAAGAACACACTGTTCTGAAAATAAACGACCTTATTCGATTATAAAAATGAACAACATTCAAGAAAATTCTTCCTACTGTGTAACGAAGTGATTTCCTGGCAATACATCCCCACTTTGAAATAAAGAGCTCTTTGCCAAAGAAAAAGGAAGAGTAGAAGGGTCAGGAACTCATGACTACAAATTAAAATACATATTCAAGATCATCACGGATTATTACTGTTCGTGGATTATTAGTGCCATTTTATTTTATTCGGGGAGCATTGCAAGGGCAGAAGAAGTAACGGATGCGCGCAGTGTTCAATCTGGACATCCCACTTTGAGATGTCCATAAATTATTTAGCGCACAGTGATACTCCCAGCACACTTTAAGGAAATAATGTGGAGCCCTGCGTTCGCCAGTGACGTTAATTGTTCAGCGTGTGCGGTGTGGGTTTATGGCGAACATCCACGAGGTTATCGACAGCACTGCAGGACCGCAGCACACTCTCTCTGGACGGTCACATATACGGGCGAGATATCCCGTCCAGTCTCGACGTGACTGCGGGCAGGGCGCACAGAGTGAACAGCACAAAGCACCCCCCACACAGCACCACGTACAGCCCCCACACCAAACACACACGGTGGCGCTCCGGCTCGGGCCTGGCTGGGAGATTCCTCCACCTTCCAGGCCTTTTACACTTTCGGCCAGTTCCTCTCTCCCCGTGTTTTCCTGACGCGAGTATCCGGTAGGAGGAGAATCCAGCAGGGCAAAGAAAAGTTAAACATCCGCCAAGCAAGCTCAGAAACTCAAAGGAAAGGGGGGCTGGGGTCATCTTTGACGCTATCCTGACCTTTAAGTTTCTGTTTGAACGGCTTACGGCGCCGAAATGGTCCCAGACTTTAGGCTCTATTGCCCAAGGGACTTAAATTTGGATTGGACTTTGGTGCCCGAGTCGCCATTTATCGGCTTTATGAGCTACTGCGATTCAGTTTTCTGCAGTGATCTGTCTACAGCAGTTCCCCACAGACGCTCAATCTGACCCCGGTCACGCCAACTTATAAACGGCATCTTTGTTTAACGACTCGAAAAATAAGCCTACCTGGAACGTCAGGTGATAGGACACCCGTGGTTGGGTATCGATGCTGGTTATTATAACACAGCCAGAACGACAACACGACCGAATATAAACAAACAAACGGGGGAAAGCCCCGCTGCCACTGACCTGCTAGTGTTTCTGCTGCAGGAGACTATTGTTCCACTTCTGTGTGGTAATCCAGGCAGCACGTTGGGATGAAGCCACTGCGACAAGTTCCCCCAACTACTTTGCTGCAAAAAAAAAAAAATACACCAGATCGCCTCCAATCCTTCAAATAATTTGCATCGGAGCGCCGTACGGTGTGTCGCAGTGTCCGGTCGCTTGGATGACTACATAGCTGGTCCGCTGTATTTCATTTTTCGCGTTAACTTTCGCTCACAAACTGCACCGTCCCGTCCGGTGATGATCAGCCATGTCGCTGCTGCTGCTGCTGTGCAGATCCCAAGTGGAAGCAGTGGCGTGATCCCGGAAAACAACGCAAGGGGTGTGCGTGTGTGAGATACACTGTGGACGTGTGCGTATCGGAGCCTTTCAACATCCACCCCCAAAACCACCAACTCCTAACAGCGTCTTTCTCAGGAAAAAGGGGGGGGGTCAGATAGATTAATTCGGGGTAGCACCGTCACCGGGGAAATTAGCTTTCATTATCCAAACCCCATTCCCATCTAAATATGCACCTCAGAGAAAATTCCTAGTGAATAATGCATAGATATTATGGAAATTCAGCAGAATGATCCACCCCTGCATAGTTGGCATCCACATCAAGGAAAATACTGCCAAGTTTCGCTTGCCAGCATCAAACAAACACTCCCGAAGATCCGTAATTGTGAAGGCTAAATTAAGACTGATTTTATTCGGCAAGGATTTTTTATTTTTTGGTTTGTTTGTTATTTGTGCGGGTGTAGATGAGTTTAATTACACTCCTTAAAAGCCCCGTTACATGCAGTAATGCCCTTATTAACATTATCAGCTTTATTCTCCTTGTAATGTGGCTACTTTAGAACATACTTGAACAGCTTCGCATGTTTTTGAAGACAATCATTAAAAAAACAATGCGTTATTACAGGTGATCCCTTTGTTTTTAGAGGGGATCACCTGGATTCCCCACCAATTGCGTGGGAAATCATAGATGACACAGCAAACAGTTGATGGGGATAACTCTGCCTGCTGAACTTCATCGCCACCACGTGGCTGAAGCAAGAAGCAGAAGCCTGCATTCACGTATAAGACAAATTCATTCAATTGAGCAAATTCTGCAGGGACTGTTTAAAGTAGTCCCTGTACACTTAGCATAGAAGGAGAAAAACATTGTGTCTGGCTTCTAAAACTGCACCAGAACATTGCCTAAACTCTGTGCAACCTATTGCAACAAAATAAGCAACTACAGCTAAGCATATATTTTGAAATAAAATTAAATAATAAACACATTTGAGTATGAATGTAGGAAGCATTAAAAAACGAAAGTACACAAATCATAATAACGATCAAGTAAAATAATTCCAGATATGCAATAGAAATTTTTTCTTATTAACATCAACAAAGACACATGAAATGCTCCCTGTACATTTCCAAACCATACACACTCTATCCATTAAATTCATCTGCCATAAGAAAATGCCACAAACAAATATATCTATAGAGCAGACGTAAATGGCTGTTACATATTTTACACTTTATAATAAATATGTTCTCACATAACAACCATCTTCCTTTTATTTTCCAGCTGCTCCCTTTAGGGGTCCCCACAACATATCATCTGCCTCCTTCTCACTCTATCACTAGCATCCTAGTCTGTCACACTAACCCTCTGCATGCCCTCTTTCACTGCATCCACAAAGGCCTTCCTCCTGCCTGGCAGCTCCATCTTCAACGTTCTTTGCCCAACAAATCCACTCTCCCTCCTCGAGACATATCCAAACCATCTCAGGCTCACCACTCTTATATATAAATAAACTTAACAAATTTTACAGCACAATACAATAAATGTCTGCATTGCTTATCAAATTACAAAACACTCTTGAGCAGACAGAAGAGTACAATCTCATTAGCCCCACATCATCATATAATGATTTTTTTTTAAAAAAAAAAGAAAACCAAGCAATCAAAAAAACAGTGTATAATAAGTGACTAAATGCATAATATTATTATTCAAAGACAAATCACAGCTTGTGTTAGAGAATGAATATATACTCATAATTAAATATAAGCTGTGATTATTGATTTTGTTACCTAAAGTGTAATATAGTTAATTAAAAGATGGCCTGAGACTGCATTTATTTTATGACTAAACAGTAAAAGTTTCCAGAATCAAAATATCTCAGGTGCTGCTTTTGATTTTGTTTGCATCTGTCTCTGTAACCTCCCCTCTTTGCAGACTACTTATGCTGGCCTCAGCGACATTATAGAATAGATGTGTAATACTCAAAAATCAATGGAATGAAATCTATGAATTTCATATAACCAAAAATGTTAGAAGCAAAATGGGAGGAATGATTATAAAATACTGTTTGGGGAAAGTTATAAAACTTTTTAAGCAGTTTTTGACTTTGAATAATGCAACCGGTTATTAATATAATTGTAGTTATGTTCCAGTAATAATTACAATTAAAGCAAAGTTAGATAATGCTTTAAAATAACTGTCCAACAAATGTGGTTGTTGTTTAGCAAGACACACTTCACCAGGAGTTTGACACAAATAACCTGAAGAGTAAATTTTGGCTTACTTCAGATACACTTTAGAGGGAACACTACACTTTGTTTTCTCCCAGAATGCTTATTTGACTACTACATATTAACATTTTACAGCTTTTAGGGTAATAAAACGTAAACGGGGCAGTATTAAACTTAACAAAATTACTGCAGTCACTCTTTAACCTCCTAGGACCTGGCGTCCACATATGTGGACATCACATTTTGGGTTATTTAGACCAAAATACTCAATTTTGCTCTACATGGGCCTGATATCCACTTACGAGGACATCCTGCTACTGTTCTATCAAAATTGTAAATGAATATCCTCATTTGTGGCTCTGATTTTTCTTAAAAACAAAAATAAGGTAAAAAAAAAAAATCTGGTGATTCTTTGTTTATCAGGCCCCAATCAGCCCAAATATCAAAGAGAAATTAAAAATGCATGTCGTGGAAGAGTTCGGGTCTTAGGAGGCTAAGAGTTGTTGCACCAGGCAGCTCCTCTCTAAACCTCTCAGACGGTCAACTGCGTGGAGCCTGAAGAAGTAAAATCACGGGCACCAAAGTAGTTCAGCAAAGCTTAGAGAAAAGTCGAAAATCATTTAAAACGAATAATACAAGCTCTTTCTGTTCGGCTGTGCGCCATTAGAGGCCGCTGTGGATTTACCAAGACTTCCGAAACGACGACCTGCTCCATCGTGACTCTTTGGCTTGTCCGTCCTGTTGTTAGGCAGGTTGTCAGGGGCAGCGCATCTGTTAGCTAAAGGGGGATTAGGTTTACTTCAGTTAATGATGAACTATATATTAAACAAAGTACACGGCTGTCGGCATACCTGCTTTTTTGCGCGAAGCTGTCTGACTTCTTTGACTGAAAGCGGCAGAGACGACACGGTTTATTTTTCTCGAAACGGTCAGAGGTTTTCCGCCGAGCTTGCTACATAGGTAGCTAGCTAGTTGAGGTTTACTAACGTCGAGCCATCAGACAAACCAAACCTTTTGACTTTTGCAATAACTTTACCCAATAACTATCCATATTTATATCCAGCTTTCAGTTGGTGCAATAACAATAACAACATGGAGGCCGCTCAGGAATATCTAAAAGAGCAGAACGAATTTGACGACAATGACGAACCTTCATCTTTACCTTACAATTCCCCGTTTCGCTCCACTCGTCTACACATCCAGAGGAGTAATGTCTGCTCTCGGGCTTATTTCGTCGTGGTCATGGTCTTCTTTCATGTTTACATCCTAAATGTTATCGCCCTGCTGCTCTACGTGCACTACAACAACGGGCCCGGGGATCTTGTGAGTGGAGACGGAGGGTCCTCAGCTGCTGACAGCGATAACGGGAAGCGTCTACCCCATCCTGCCCCGTCCTCCAGAGAGCTGCATGTGGAGGACTACAGTCAAAGCTTCAGTCTCCCTCGCATTGAGGGAATACGGGTAAGAAACGGGGACAGTATCGGTATTGACATTTCGACTCAAAGGTTATTGCTCCCATATACATTACTTCCTGTAAAGTTAAGTCAGCATTTCTTTCTAGTTAAAACAGTTTCAACTACATTTGAAGTATTTAAACATGTAAAGTAATTGGTGTGACATGGAAGTGCTATAGCAAAAACCATTGTATGTGTGCACATACTTGGCCAATAAAGCTGATTGTGATTATGTGTTTTGTGCGTCTGCAGGTTGGACATGTTCAGAGGGTGTCTCTTGTCCCAGACAAAACACATGAAATGAAGACGCTTAGTCTGAAACCATTGCTGTTTGGTAAGCCTTGCAAATAAAGACCAGGTATAAAGAAACTTAAAAAACCTCTGTAAATTTTCTATTTAACATCTTTTATTTCTTTGAACTACTCTGCCTGACTGGCACGGTGCTGATATTGATTGAGCACTGTAGTTGTGACCATCTTACTGTCTGGTAACTTTTCCTCAACCAATAGTTTGGATATGATTTGGAAAAAAGCCCAACAAAACAACAAATGAAACAAGAAAAGGTTTATTTACAGGCTTATGATTTAATTCTAAACATTATCCCCTAACCACAGCTGTTTAGTGCTTGTTTCAGTTCAAGTCAGCTATTTGACTTTTTCTACCTAAACATATAATCCTAGTTTCTGCATCGGTATTGTTTCCACTTGCGTGCAGCTGCCATCAGGTTCTTGTCTTGTTTCTGCCAGGCGAAAGCTTTGTTGACCACCAGGCGCTCACCATGCACTGTTCCTGTCACAAGAAAGGTGCCGCCTCGTGGGTGTTGGCGTGTCATGTTCCTCACGCAGGTGGCATCTCTCTCCAGCCACAGCTCGATGCGCGAGCGCAGCTGACCACCTAGCAAGGGTCCCTGCTTCAGGACGTCCAGTTTACCAGCCAGTGAGAACAGAGATAGACTGACTGGGCTGTATTTGAGCCTTGTCAGTCGTAGTTTCACGACTGGGAAGATGGCAGATAAGCCTTAGTCACATTTACTGTTTATCAAACCTTACATGTGTGTGATAATTATAAAATCAAAAAATATATATTGAAACTCACCAAAATCACTCCTACAAAAAGTCTGAAGTAAATCATTTGATGAGGAGGCCTCTTCCAGCTCACAGTCCCGACAGCTCGCCTGTGGTGCTGAAATAGTTAAACCACTAATTGAATCACTTGTTGAGTCAGCGTCAGCAGGTGTGTCTGCGTAGCCAGTTTCTCACCTCTACGCCCTGCTGTGTCAGCGGTGGTGTTAGTGATGGACGAGATACACATGAGATGGTCCGCGGGATACTGGTCGCACCGCAGAATTTCGGGCCATGGGTAGCCATAGCAACTCATGATCGGAGCACAGCTGTCCTGTACGGATTCACACAAGCTCCTGCAGGGTGAGATAAATCTGATGAAGAAGAGATGGAGAGGGAAGATGGGCAGCAATTAGTAGATGATGGGTTGAAATCAATACCACAGTGCTGGACAACACAACACTTGATTAAAAGAGATTTGGTCCTTGTTTTTTTGTTCTTCACACCTAGACTGCACACAGACTGCTAATGTGATAAAGAGGAGATTTAGGCTTTTTCTGGTGGCCTGGATTCTCTGTGAAATCAGGGCTTTCCCGCTGAGACTGCTGCACAGTTTGCATAGTTGTCAAAAGCGTTATCCCTTGATAACTGTGCTCCTAAACAACATTTTCATTAACCTAGCATTTTGGATTTTCTGTTAATAAGTCTGTAGCTACTTGTGGTTATCTTGTGCTTTCAGCAATTATGACTCCTCCAGTATTACACTATCCACTCCATTTCTAAACAAAAACATGAGATATAACGGTCCCTATAAAACGTCAGATTAATATGAAAAAAATTCTAGTACAAAAGATATATAAAAACTTACCTGTCAAGGCAGATGGGAGCAAAGAGAGAGCAGAGGAAGATGCGGGCATCAGGGTGGCACTCTCTGGCAAGGAGTGGCAACCAGCTGGCGCTTTGCTGTACAGCCTCAGCAGGAGTCTCGTGGCCCAGCAGGTTGGGCATCCTCATGGTGTTATAGCCAATATTTTGGCACAGGGCCATGCCTAATGGGATAGAGACACAGCGAGAGGAGCTGCTGGGTTCCCATAGTTCGTCTTCGCTGATAGAAAGTGTGTACTTGAAGTTACCAGGCTCTCCTAGAACTTCACTATCCCCTCCTGGAAAAACTCTTGGTTTAGAAACACTGGTATCTCCAAATCCAGTTTCACTGTTGTCCACAATACTTGCCCTGTGTCCCTTGTTCTTTACCCGAGATCCAACCTTACCCTCTGTCCTCACTCGTTCCTCCATCCCTGTACTTACTCTCCCGGGACTCACTGCTAACAGATTAATAGGCCCAGCAAGCAGAAGGATGAATAGCAGGGAGGATGAATGGGAGGACATTCTGGATATTTAATGAGGACAAAGCTCTTCTGCTCAGAAGGCAAAAAGTAGAAGAAATCCTCAAGTGTCTCTTTTGAGTAATTGATGATCGCTGTGTGAAAGTGATGGAGAGGATGGCCAAATAGGTGTATTTATAGTGGGTGGTGAGCAGATCTGCACAGGAAGGGGGTAAGGGGTGGTGTAGAGAACAGTTAGGAAAAGGAGAAGAGTGCATATTAAAAGAGAAACATGGATGCACTTACATGGATCAGCAGATATAAATGTGTATTATAGAGCCAGGTTAATCATTTGCATACATTAAGGCAGATGCAGACCCTGATAGTAGTGAAACTCGTCACTTCTTTCCAACCCACATTTTCGGTCAAACCACACTTAACTACCTTGTTTCCCTCTGTTGTCTTTGTTTATGCATTATTTATGCATCTTTTTTTTTATAAATACTTCTTTCTCATTAGAAACCTATATTGTTCTTAATAGAGATTGTTACTGCCCACAGGAGGGGTAACTTTCCACAAAGAAATGTTCAAGAGAAGTTCATCAGATATTATCCTGAAACGAGAGAACATCTGAGACCCATGTGCAGATACTAAAGTGCATGCTTTTGCATTGTGTATAAACATTTGCGCAGGATGCAAATAAAATTGGCGTTGTCCTGCTGTGCAGCCGTGGCCTGATTCCTGTTCAGACAAGCAGGTCACTTCCTTTCCGGGGGAGAAAGAGAGACAGCGGTGGGAGGGAGAAGAGGATGGCTCAGTCCCCCTTCATTCATATCAGTTGTCACAATTAATGAGGCTTGACTGGACTGGGGGTTAACCAAGGGTGCAGTGTAAAAGGCACGGGTGACAAACAAGGCCCCTACTGTACAAGCGCCAGACCTGCCGGAAGCCTTTTATTAGGATGGAAAATGACTGAAGGCATGGACGAACTCTAGGAAATCACGTTTGTAATGTTTGCCTTTATATTGTATCTAATTCAAGAATACTTCGTTTTGTCGGTGTAACATATTTTTGGGGAAACACAGGTAGACCTGCTGAAAGAAATATTTAGGAGCCAAAGAGGAGAATCAGGAACCTCCTTTTGTTGTTGAAAAACGTTAATTTTAAAAACTGTAAGGCAGTTTGTCATTAAAGTTGGCATCACCCCAATGTAGAATGAACTCACACATCATTAGAGACATAAGATTCAAAGAGTCAAAATAAAAAGTATGAAATAATATAAAAAATGAAGTTAAAAAAGAGGAATATGTATGATTTCTTCTAATTGTCTATATGGAATTGAGGACTCAGGAGAAGCTTACATTATTCTCATTCTGTAAGCTGGGAAAGTTTAGATTTCCCATAAAGTTTGTAATGGACAGTCACATGGCTTTGTGTATTAGATAATGTGAAATAAATTGGTATTTCATGCAGTATGGAGTCACATGTGCCAAAGGCTCCAATGGATCATAACATCTGCTACTACTGTCTTTATGTTCCTGTCAGAGATCCCTGGCTTCCTGTCTGAGGAGGAGTGTCGTGTGGTGGTGCAGCTGGCTCAGCTCAAGGGCTTAATGGACAGCCAGGCAACAGCATCCAGCCAGGAACAAGAGGAGTCAAACCAGCCACTGCTTTCACTCAGCACAGAAGAGGTCTTCAGCCTATTGGACTTGAACCAAGATGGGCTGCTTCAGAAGCAGGAGGTGATGAGAGAGAAACATTATGCATCTGCAGGAGGAAAATTGATTTCCAGAAAAAGTCATTTTCTATGTAATGTAAAATTAGATGAACTGTCAGCACATGTTTTGCTTTCTGCTGAGATCAGAAAAACACTCTGGTCTTCCCTCTAGATCGTGAGTCATTCACATTCTCAAGATGGAACTTGGTTGAGTCCCGACAATCTACGGCAGATACTGACCGGTCTGGAGTCCTGCCCCACAGGTCCGTGCTCATGTAGCTCAAACATGCATCTCTGAATTTCTTCTGTCCTGAGTGACTCTATTTAGAAAAGCATAATTGGATAAAGATGTAACTAAAATTAATTTGGAAGATACTGTTTATAACCTAATCAATTCCTGTTCATCCCACCATGTCGTACCTTTGTTATCTGATTCTGATTGGGCTTTTCGAAACCTGTGCCCCTAAAATACTTAATGTCAAAACATGCTATTCTTTTTTTT